GGCGTCGTCGCTGCCAAGTGCCATTTGGCACCCACCGTCACGGTCCTAAGGGGCATTGCGGCCAAGTTGCGGGTGGGAGGGTGGGATGTTTGCACGAGCAGTGGAGAGGACAGCTTCAAGTTGAGCAAGTGATTGATTGCACCACATAGATGTTTTTTTTTTTTTTTTTTTTTTTAAAAAAAAAAAAAAAAAAAAAAAAAAAAAAAAAAAAAAAAAAAAAAAAAAAAAAAAAAAAAAAAAAAAAAAAAAAAAAAAACTCTACCCCCCCCCCCCCTGGCGTTCGCCGCCACCCTTTTCGGGTATGTGAATCATATATGATTCTGACCACATGTCCATCCTCAACCTGAATTTACACTATCCCCGGGGAACCGGTATCGATCCCCCTGAGGTTCCCTTGAAAAAACGATACGTGGGGACATCGTTTGTCCTAACATAAGACCTTTTCGCGAATCCGTTGCAAACAAAAAAAGACGAAGTGCACACGCGCGCGTCGTCGAGCGCGCATGCCGAAATCCTTCCAAAACCATCGGTGCTGGAAGGATTTCGCAATCGAGCTTCAAAAAAAAAATGGTTTCGCAACACTGATTTGCTAAAAAAGCTTACGCGCGAGCTCTTGCGAAATATCATAAAGAACAATAGGTTTTTCAAGATTTTCACAAAATACTAGTAAACGGGCTTCGCGCGCGCGCATGTCGAAATCTGTCGAACGCCTTTGCGCGTGAGCCGTCGCGAGAATCCTCTGCAAAAAATGAAACGAAGTGCAGACGCGCGCGTCGTCGCGGGCGTACGCCGAAAACCTTCAAAACCCATCGGTTTCGGAAGGATATCACAATCGTGTGTCCAAGAAACCTACAAAAACCCAAGGTTTCGCAGCACGGATTTTCAACAAAAGCCTGAGCGCGCGCTCTTGCGTCGTCGTCGTCGTCGTCGCCGTCCTCCCTCCTCCCGCGTCGTCGTCTGCCTTTCCTCGTGTTCGTCGTCGTCGTCCTATTTGGCGTCGTGGTCGTGTCCGTCGTCGTTGTCGCCGTGGTCGTCCTTCCTCCTCCTCCCTCGTCGTCGTCGTCGTCGTCCGTCGTCGGCGTCTCGTCGTCGTCCCTCCTATTTCGTCGCCGTCGTCGTCGTCGTCGTCGTTGTCGTCGTCGTCTTCCCTCCTCCCTCGTCGTTGTCGTCGTCGGCGTCGCCGTCCTTCCTCCTTCTTCGTCGTTCGCGTCGTCGCCGTCCTCCCTCCTCCCTCGTCGTTGTCGTCGTTGTCGTCGTTGTCGCCGTCGTCGTCCGTCCTCCTCCCTCGTCGTCGCCTTCGTTGGCGTCGTCGTCGTCCTCGTCGTCGTCGGCGTCGGCGTCGTTGTCGTCGTTGAAGTCGTCGGAGACGTCGTCGGTGTCGTCGTAGTCGTTGTCGTCGGTGTCGTCGTAGTCGGTCTTAAGAAGTTTTGCAAACCAAGTTGCGGGTGGGTGGGTGGGATGTTTGCGCGAGCAGTGGAGATGACGACTTCAAGTTCAGCAGAGTGGATTGCACCACATATATTCTCCTTTCTAAGGAAAGAATAGACTCTCCCCCCCCCCGGGCGTTCGCCGCCACCCTTTTCGGGTATGTGAATCATATGATTATGACAACATGTCCATCCGAAATATGAATTTACACTATCCCCGGGGAACTGGTATCGGTCCCCCCGAGGTTCCCTTGTGAAAAACGATGCGCGGGGACATCTTTCTTCGCGAAAAAACTGGACGAATTGCACACGCGCGCGTCGTCGCGCGCTCATGCCGAAATCCTTCAAAAACCTTCGGTGCCGGAAGAATTTCGCAATCGAGTTTCCAAAACACATACAAAAAACACAAGTTCTTGCAACGCGGATTTGCTAAAAAAGCTTACGCGCGAGCTCTTGCGAAATCTCATATATATATATATATATATATATATATGTGTGTGTGCGTAAAGGTTTGTCAAGATTTTCACAAAATGCACTCAAAGGGGCTTCGCGCGCGCGCATGTCGAAATCTGTCGAACGCCCTTGCGCGTGTGCCGTCGCGAGAATCCTTTGCAAAAAACTGGACGAAATGCAAACGCGCGCGTCGTCGCGCGCGTATGCCGAAATCCTTCGAAACCCATCGGCGTCGGAAGGATTTCAAAATCGTGTGCCCCAAAAACATACAAGAACGCAAGGTTTCGCAACACGGATTTTCAACAAAACCGTGCGCGCGCGCTCTTGCGTCGTCGTCGTCGCCGTCCTCCCTCCTCCCGCGTCGTTGTCGTCGCCTACGTCGTCCTCTGTCTTTCCTCGTGTTCGTTGTCGTCGTCCTCTTTGGCGTCGTGGTCGTTTCCGTCGTCGTTGTCGCCGTGGTCGTCCTTCCTCCTCCTCTCTCGTCGTCGTCGTCGTCCGTCGTCGGCGCCGTCCTCCCTCCTCCCTCGTCGTTGTCGTCGTTGTCGCCGTCGTCGTCCTGCCTCCTCCCTCGTCGTCGTCGTCGTCGTCTTCGTCGTCGTCGTCGTCGGCGTCGTCGTCGTCGGCGTAGTCATCGTCGTCGTCGTCGTCGTCGTCGTCGTCGTCGTCCGTCATCGTCGTCGTCGTCGTCGGCGTCGGCGTCGTCGTCGTCGGTGTCGTCGTCGTAGTCGTCGTCGTCGTCATTGGCGTCGTCGTCGAAGTCGTTGGAGACGTCGCCGGCGTCGTCGTAGTCGTTGTCCGCGTCGTGGCGCGGCCGCAGAGACGCACCAGCCAACGCCGAGCATGCATCGCAATCGCCACCTAATGGGTTTTGCAAGCGAAGTTACGGGTGGGTGGGTGGGATGTTTGCAAGAGCGCGGGATGTGTCAACTCGTTTGTTAAAACAAATTTTCCTTTCTAAAAGATTAATAGATTCTACCCCCCCCCGGACTTATCGGCTCCCCCTGGGATAATATGATTTCATATATATATATATATTCTGTACACTCGTCCATCCTAAATATGAGACCATACCATCCCAGCCAAACCGGGTTCCCCCCCCCTGAGGTCCCCTTGTAAAAACACACACACACACACACAAAAAAAAAAAAAAACACGATGCGGTGACATTTGTTGCTCTAACATAACACTTGTTCACGAATCCCTTGCAAAAAACGAAACGAAGTGCACACGCGCGCTTCGTCGCGCGCGCATGCCGAAATCCTTCAAAAACCTTCGGTGCGGGAAGAATTTCGCAATCGAGTTTCCACAAAAACATACAAAAACACAGGGTTCCGCAACACAGAGTTGCTAAAAAAGCTTCCGCGAGAGCTCTTGCGAAATCTTAAGAAAACCATAGGTTATTCAAGATTTTCACACAATGATACCAAACGGGCTTCGCGCGCGCTCATGTCGAAATCTGTCGAACGCCCTTGCGCGTGTGCCGTCGCGAGATACCCATGCAAAAAATGGGACGAAGTGCAGACGCGCGCGTCGTCGCGCGCGTATGCTGAAAACCTTCAAAACCCATCGGTTTCGGAAGGATTTCAAAATCGTGTGTCCAAAAAACCTACAAGAACACAAGGTTTCGCAACATGGATTTTCAACAAAAGCATGCGCGCGCGCTCTTGCGTCGTCGTCGTCGTCGTCACCGTCCTCCCTCCTCCCGCGTCGTTGTCGTCGTCGTCGTCGCCTACGTCGTCTTCTGTCTTTCCTCGTGTTCGTCGTCGTCCTCCTCTTTGGCGTCGTGGTCGTTTCCGTCGTCGTTGTCGCCGTGATCGTCCTTCCTCCTCCTCCTCCCTCGTCGTCGTCGTCGTCCCTCCTATTTCGTCGCCGTCGTCGTCGTCGTCGATGTCGTCGTCGTCGTCTTCCCTCCTCCCTCGACGTTGCCGTCGTCGGCGTCGCCGTCCTTCCTCCTTCTTCGTCGTTCGCGTCGTCGCCGTCCTCCCTCCTCCACTGTCGTTGTCGTCGTTGTCGCCGTCGTCGTCCTCCCTCCTTCCTCGTTCTCTTCGTTGGCGACGTCGTCGTCGTCTTCGTCGTCGTCGTCGGCGTCGGCGTCGTTGTCGTCTTCGTCGTCGTCGACGTCGGCGTCGTCGTCGTCGCCGCCGTCGTCGTCGTCGTCGTCGTCGTCGTCGTCGTTGGTGTCGTCGTTATCGTCGTCGTCGGCGTCGTCATCGTCGTCGTCGTTGTCATCGTCGTCGTCGTCGGCGTCGGTGTCGTCGTCGTCGTCGTCGTGTCGTCGTCGTCGGTGTCGGCGTCGTCGAAGTCGTTGGAGACGTCGTCGGTGTCGTCGTAGTCGTTGTCGGCGGCGTCGTCATCGTCGTTGTCGCTGTCGTCGTCGGCGTCGCTGTTGTTGCCAAGTGCCATGTGGTACCCACCGTCACGGTCTTAAGAGATTTTGCAAACCAAGTTGCGGGTGGGTGGGTGGGATGTTTGCGCGAGCAGTGGAGTGGACAACTCACTGCGAACAGAAATTAATTGCACCACATAGATTGCACCGCATAGATTGCATTACATAGGTTGCACCGCGTAGAATGCACAACATAGATTGCACCGCATAGATTGCACGCGTGGCGCACCTCGCCCCAGCGTCGCGCAGATGGGGTCGGGCTCGGTTCCCAGTGCCTGTCCATCCAAAGACGACCGCTGAACATGCTCAGGCTCGGGTGTTACTGATGTGTTGGGAGGGCGGGTGGGAGTGAGCTAGACGGCTTGCTACCTAGGGGGTGTCTTGACCCCTCCCCCTAGGGGCCGATTTCTGAAAAGGCGAGGGTGGCGTTCTTTGAAGAGGACCGAAGGCTTCTGTAGGGCAGCTCCTCAGAGTGCACTGAGGGCTTCTAAGGAGGCCGCCGATGCTTCCTCAGCAGGCCGTTCCCTCCCCTGAGATCCGACGTTGCGAAAAGTGCAGCATCGCGAAAAATCCAAGCCCGAGCCCAAGACCCCACTTTCTCGAGCCGGATCGATCGGTGCGGACCCCAGGGCCCCCCAACGTGGCAAAGTCGCCCGCGGTGAAAAAATGCAATGCCCAGATCTCAGGGTCGCGTCCTGCCCCCACATGGCCCCTTTCTGCGCGCCGACGACAACCACGAGGTGGCGCCGGTCGCAGGAGGGGTCCGCGCGCGCCCACGCCAGCGTCTCCGCCTCCACGAAGACTCGGATGGCGTGCGGCGCCAGGGTCTCTCTCAGCGTGGTGTCGAGGAACACCCAAACCCCGACGAGGGCCAGCCCCAGGTCCATGGATGGCTAGAGCAAGAAAAACTGCATAACCATAAACTTTCGGGACTCCGCGTGGATTTCTTGGATCGTCGCAGGACCCCCCTCCCTGGAGCTCGGAGCGGCGCTGGAGGCGCCGCTAGGGGGGCCCAGCGCCGATTAAAAAGTCCGTGCGGAACTCCGAATGTTGATGTGTATGCAGCTTCTTTTTCTACGAGATAGCAGCAGCAACCCAGCCACGTGCTCCTGCGCAACGTTTAACCGAACCCCATCCCCACTGCAGAGGCCTTGGCAATAGTGGCCGACTCACCCAACGAGTTGAGGATACTTGATCCTGGGTCGAAAAATCACAGGCCCCCACCCGAGGTGGGATGGGCCCCAGGGTAGCACAGGACCCCCTCCCAGATGGGATGGAGGGGGGACGACGACGACGACGACGACGACGACGACGACGACGACGACAAACCACTCAACACCCACAGGGGGAGGGGGCGGCGGGGCACCGGCACCCACCACCACGCCACGCCCACAAGGCCACGACCACAGGGGGGGGGGCGATTCCATTCGAGAGGCCTTCGCGAGGCTCACGGGCGCACCCACGCAGCGAGGGGCGGGGAGAGGGGGGGGGCGATCCCATTAATAAACATCGGGGCGGGGGGCGGGGCCCTGGATCAGGTGTAGCCCCCCGCAGTTGCGGATCAGATGGGGTCGCGGGGTGGGTCGCGGGTGGGTCGCGGGTGGGTTCGCAGGAAGGGCGGAGACAACAAACAACAAACAATATTCAGTATACAAATCAAGAAACAACAACGACAAACAACAGCAACAACAGCAACAACAGCAACAACAACAACAACAACAACAACGACGACGACAACAACGACGACGACAGCAACAACAAAATCAACAATCATGTTACCCGAATGCTCTATGCTTCAATATTCAGCACGCATCCATCATGATACCTCCCCCCTCATGGAGGATTAGTTCTTGCACACGAGGGTCCGATATTACCTCACCTTGATGTCCCGTCCGAAGAGGTCTTGACGACACCTTTTTCCGAGGCACTTCAACATCTCCACCCCAGATGGCACATCGCCTTCGCAATCCCCTGTCCGCGCCTTGCTTCTAGGTGTCACGACGCCTGAATGGCCGAAGACCTCAGGGAGCGGCCTCACAACCTCTAGGAAAGCCCCGTGAAGAGCCCCCAGAGCCTCTGAGAGAAGCTTCAGAGCTTAGGCCCCTAGGCGTTCGCCCCTTCCTGGGGACCGCTTTTGCGTCGGCCGCTTTCTGATGGCGCTGGGGTTGATCGTCGTCGTCGTCGTCATCGTCGTCGTCGAGCCCAAAAATGGCCTGGGGGTCTCGACTTGAACAAGATGTCTCAAGCGAGGGCGCCTGCTCGGGATTCTGCGCTAGGTTTCGCCAGAATCGCCAGAAACATAACAAAAAAGCTGGCAAGGTCGCCGGAAACAGGGCGCGAAGCCGGCGTGAAAGCGGGCGAGTAAGCTGGCGTGTAAGAGGCAGAAAAAGAAGGAAAGGGAGGGATGAGGGAGAAGGAGGGAAAGAGAGGGAAGGCTCTGGCGACAAGCGTGATAGCTGGCTTGAAAAGTGGAAAGATCAAAGGGAAAGCAGGAGAAGGATAGTGAAAGCTGTCGAGATAGAGATACAGGGACATGCAGGAGAAAGTTAAGGAAACCTGGCGGAAGAAAAGCGGGGGAATGACAAGGAAAGATCGGACAAGTGAGGGAGAGGAGGAAAAGAAGGAGAGGGAGGACGACGACGACGACGAGGACGACGACGACGACGACGACGACGACGACGACGAGGACGACGACCACGACGACGACGACGACGGCGGCGGCGGCGGCGGCGGCGACGACGGCGACGACGCCACGCCTCAGGACGCGAGCGAGAGCGAGGTCGCGCGGAGCAGGCGAAGGCGCGAAAGCGCATTCAGGGTGTCCAACAATAATAACGACTTAATAATCAAGGTTCAACACGGACCAGGAAAGCCTCAGGGCTTCCTGGGAGTCTTGAATAAAAGCGGAGGAAATACCGAACGGGAGCGTCGAAGTTTGTAGGGGGTCCTGAGGCGGGAGGGGAGCGCCAGTCCTGAGGTGAAAAGCAGGAAAGTGTCGAGCGGGAGCGCCGATGTCGTTGGAAATGCGGCTTTGGGGGGCGAGCAAAAACCCTGGCCCCGAGTGAGAAAGGAGGGAATATCGAGCCAGAACGTTGCTGTTGTTGGGGGGCTGGTTTTGGGGAAACCCCGAAACGCCTGAGCGTGAGCCTAATTTTCCAAGGAAATGCAGCCGGCGCCTAGGCGAGAACGCGAAAGATCACTCAGGGTGTCCAAAAATAATACTCGCTGAACAACTTTTAAGACTGTTCGCTCTTACCTGCTCGCGTGCCATTCAACACGTATATCTCAAACCCTCGGTACCCTCCCTCTTCGTCTTCGCAGAGGGAAGTACCCCCAAGAGGGGGTACGGTACCCCCTCTTGGGGGCACATTTTCCTTATCTTCCGCGTGTAGCTGGCGCCTCCCCTAAAACAGGGGGAGGGGAGAAGTTAAGAGACAAAGGAATACAAATGGCAGAACCAGCCTGGCATGTCGGGCGGGCGGACCCTAACGAGCAGGTCGTGCGGGCGGGCCCAAACGGCCAGGTCGAGCGGGCAAGTCGCCAAACCGTCAACCCATCATGAAGGAAGATTCGAGCGATCGCGCGATTCCCAAGTAAATCGTCCAGAAATCCAGAACGAGAACGTGACTCCTCAGTCTGGGGGGCACGGCGCCGAAAAAAATCAGGAGGAAGTTCCACGCGAGAGCGCGACTCTTGGATAAATGAAATAGAAATCCTGCGCGACAGCGCGAGTTTGAAATACCTTGTGCAGAAATATAAGGCGGGAGCCGCTTGTGTTGTAAAACCGAGGCCGCGGGCGCAGTTTGGTGGCCACAAATTTTCCCTTATAAAAAACCCGGTGTGAGTCCTGGGAGGAGCACTTGAATTTAAAATACAGTGGTCACCGGTTGGGATCAACAATACTTGTTCTTCCGGCATGAAACAACAGCAGCAGCAACAACAACAGCATCATCAACAGCAACAGCAATAGCAACAACAGCAACAACTAGAGCAACAACATCAGCGACTACACCAACACCAACAACAACAGCAGCAGCAACATCGAAAACAACAACAACAACAACAACAACAACAACAACAACAACAACAAAAACAACATAACAACAGCCACAACCACAACAACAACAACAACAACAACAACAACAACAACAACAACAATCATTCCAAGACTGTTCGCTCCTACCGGCCCACGTGTCATTCACTATGCATATCCCGAACCCTGGATACCAGCCCTCTTCGTCTTCGATCGTACCCCCTTCTGGGGGGTTATATTCCTTCCTGGCCACGTGTAATTGGAGAAGCCCTGGGCGGGACCTCTGTGGGCGCGTTCGGGGCCTCTGTGGGCTGCGGCAGGGGCCTCTGTGGGCAGCGTGGCGGGGCCTCACTGGGCGCGTCTGAGGCGGGAGCCGTTGTCGTTGTAGCTGGGGGCCCAGGGGCACAGTGTGGCCCGGATGACTTTCCCTGTCAAATCAACAGGGTGCGAGCGTCGAGGGGCGCACTTTGAATGAGAAAAAACAATGCGCACCCGTGGGGGGGACCAACAGAAACCATTCTTCAGGAATGAAAGTTCAACATCAGCTGACGTGCGAGGGAGAGGGAATCGGAAGGAGGGGGGAAGCGGCCCAGGAGGAGGGAGGAGCAGGAAGGTAAGAGTGCGAACGTTCGAAGAAGTCCTAGGCGAAAGCGCCATTCCACAAGGAAGTCTCGGGCGGCAGCGCACGACGGGCGGGCGATCCTCTGACGGGCGGGTCGGGCGGGTGGGACATTCAAGCGGGATGCCTGAGTAGGACGAGAGTGCGATTCCTAAGTAAAGTGTGACGGCTTCCTTGGCGCGAGCGTGGTGCCTGAGCGTAGATAGCGCGATTTCTGAACAAACTGCGAAAAAGTCAAAGGCGACAGCGCACTTCCTGAAAAGGAGATGTCTGATGGGAGCGGGGGTCTAGACTAAAGCACAAGGAAATCTTAAGCGGGAGCGTCGTTCTTGAGTAAATTGTAAGGAAGCCTCAGACGGGAGGGGGGGTCCTGACTACATTGCGAAGAATTCACAGGCGGGAGGGTCGATCCTAAGTAAATTGGAAAAAAAGTCTCAGGCGGGAGCGGGGGTCCTGAGTAAAGCTCGAGGAAGTCTCAGGCGGGAGCCGTTGTTGTTGTAGTCTGGGGGAGCAGCAACGCAGCTTGACCCGGACTAAACTGTGACGAAATCTCAAGCGGGAGCGCCGTTTCTGAGTAATTTGGGAGGAAGTCTCACATGGGAGGGGGGGGGGCCTGAGTAAATTTGGAGGATGCCTCAGGCGGGAGCCGTTGTTGTAGTAGCCCGGGGGGCCAGGGGCACAGTTTGACCAGGAAGACTTTCCCTGACAAAAAACAAGATGCGAGCGTCGAGGGGCACACTTTGACAGAGAAAAAAATGCACCGGTGAGGGGGGATTAACCATAATTGTTCTTCAAAAATGAGAACTCAACAGTTACAACAACAACAACAACAACAACAACAACAATCATTTTACCCGAACGCTCAGTGTTCTCCCCAGTGCCAGGGTTTTCATGCGACGCCAGCCAATACCCCCACTTCGTGGGGGGGCAATGCAAGCTCTACCAAACATCCACACGACTCTAGGGAACCACCCACACCCAGCTTCCCGCCCTATGACGTCAGGACACTTCACTTCGTGGCGCGCGGACGATCGTGGATACTACACTGGCGTGGAGTACACACCCGCAGAGGTTGATCACTTGTTTGGGCCCCGCATGTGCCCCGCATCGTGCATTCGTTGCGCATGACATAGAGAGAGCAAGACAGAGAGAGAGAGAGAGCAAGACAGAGAGACAGAGAGAGAGAGAGAGAGCAAGACAGAGAGCCAGAGGAGAGAGAGATAGAAAGAGATTCGTCACATGTGTGAGGCAACCTGAGAAGATGTGGTACACGGTACACGTGAGATGGTACGCACTGCCAAGATAGTTGGTCACATTTTTGGGGCAATTTCCTGGGAAGGCGATGAAGCAGAGAAAGAGCGAGATAGATGTGTTCATATGATAGATATGAAGCAGAGAAAGAGCGAGAGACATAGAGAAGGAGAGAGAGGAGTCGGTCACATCTTTAGGGCAACTTC